CTTAAATGAACTCTTACGCAAGGGAAGTTGCGAATTAGGAACTGCTATGGAGCCCTATATCTTGACAATTACTTTTGGAATACCAATCGGCCATTCTCGAGCAGATGAGAATGGAATGGAGCTTGCCATTGTTTGATGTGCGACTTTAACCTGGGAATGTTAGGGTGTGCACTGCTACGTCGATGACAACGCAGCTCCATCGACAAATGCTTCTCACTATCATTGTTTACAGTTGCTTTACCTTGACTACTGATTTCTTCCATCACATCAACCGAATCTCGGAAGAAGGCAGTATTGAAAGAGTTCTAATGTTTCTTGTTCTTCAGATGGCCTGAGTCGAAGTCTTGGCTAATGAAATGTAAGTGTAGTTGTCGCATTGAGGGTTCCTGCAAAAAAAAGAGGATTTAGAGTGGGGATTATAAAAGAAGCTTCAGCAAAAGCAATTGAAAAGAGGCATAAAAGAAGCTTCAGCCTGACATACTAAGTGATAGCCTAGACGGAAGACCAAGGATGAATCTCCTTGCAGGAAGCTTTCTGCCCATTTCAACCCCACAAAATGCATCATCCTCAATTGTTAAGTATGTTCTTGATTCACATGAGCAAGTTGGTCAAAACCTTGTTGGCAGCTCAACACTAACATATGCTTTTTTGCCTGTGAAACACCAGGGTGGATTGAGGATTCCGCCTAATGCTAATATAATGAGTGGGGGATAAAAGAATATGGTAACATTAGATCTAAAACACACTTTCACCTTTGGATAATGATCATTCACCATGAAAACACGTCACACACCTCCAATAATTGACCTTCATGCCTCCCAGGATTAGGCTTGGCAACTGGGCCCGAATTCCTGGTGCCCGCCCGGGCCTGATCCGGTTCCTAGCGGATTAAATCTGCTTGACCGGATTTTTGACGGTTTTCGGGGAACTAGAAACCCGCTGTAGCCGGTTGCCGGGCGGTGATGGTTTTGGTTTAATCTGCCCCGCCAGCCCCCGAATTTCAATCAGAGAACCCTAGCCCTCCCCATTCCCCTTCATTCGTGAAAAATCCTCCTCCTGTATCCCAATTCTCGTTATGATAAACCAATCTCCAACCCCGACCCTTCCTCTTCTCCTCAAATCTAGCAATTTTTCTTCGATTGCTGAGAAAAACGACAAATAATCCCTACATTGATTGCTCAAAAGATCAGATACCCAATCAATCTGTTGAAATCCCATCGACTTTTTCAAATCAAGCCATTCCCGATGGCGATTACAGCTGCACTTACCCTTTATCGACTCTTTCTCTTCGTCATCATCTTATTCTTCTCCTTCTTCTTCATGATTGCCTTTATAAATACTCTAATTGATTGTTTTTGGCAAACCACTCTCAAGGGAAGTAAAAAGCTTGTAGCTGCGTGCAATCCATGTTTCCAGTCACTGCAACTGCAAGGAGCACAAGCCGTAAGTCTTCTTGTAGCCTTACTCAATGGATTTGCGAAATTCTGAGTGCTTGTTGTATGTTTAAATCATCCCCTGTTTCGTGATTTCTGTAGGGTTGCAAGGTTATCGACTGCCCTGTTTCATTGATCATTCACTATTCACGAAGATAATTTACTTGATTCCAAAGTCTAGAGTCTTATTAGTTTTAGTCATTAGTTCTTAGTTTTAGTTGATTTAGCCTTGATTTGTTTGCTTTTTTCTGATTGATGTATAGGTGAGGCAATGGAAGGTGTTGAATTCAGTAACTCTCCCAACTCTCAATCTGCACCCCCACCCATCAACTCTGAACCCCAGCAGCAGCAACCTTAGAATGCTGGTGATGCACCAGCAGCTGCTGTGAATGATGGTAATGTAGTGACTGCTGCTGGTGATGCACCAGTCAATGATGGTGAGCCTTCTCCGCTTTCATTTGGGGCCAAACATCCACTAAAAAGCGATGTTTGGCCTCACTTTACTAGGTTTGTTGATAAGGCTGGTGTGATGAAAGCTAGGTGCAAATATTGCCGTAAGGTTCTTTGTGGTTATACTAGCAATGATACCTCTCATTTGAGGAATCATAAAAAAGTGTGTGTTGAAAAACAGATTCACGATGGCGCAGAAAAATATTGCCACTAATTTCCTTCCAAATGGTTTTCGTGGGAGGAAAGAAATCTGTACTAGTCAGTTTAATGCAGAGGTTTCTAGGAAGGAACTTGTTACTATGGTTTTGATGCATGAGTATCCACTTGGTATAGTGGATCACTTGTACATCAATATTTCTGCAATTCTCTGCAACCTTTGTTCAATGTTCCTTGTAGAAACACTTGTAAGAGTGATATTCTTGCAATGTATGAGATTGAGAGGAAAAATATGCAAATGTTGATTAATGGTAACAAAGGTCAAATTGCTGTCACCACTGACATGTGGACAGCACGTAATCAGAAGAGAGCTTACATGGCTGTAACTGCTCATTATGTTGACAATCAGTGGAACCTTAGAAGCCACTTGCTAAGGTATATGGTTGTTTGACTCTTTCAGTTTTTTTGCTAATGTGTTTAACCACTAACTAATTATTTTGGTCTGCCTCTTGTGTCTTATTTGATGTTGCGTATCACAGGTTTCTCTATGTTCCTGCTCCTCATACTAGTGAGAAACTAGCAAGTGTGCTTCGAGAGGCCCTCATGTCATGGAATGTGGATTGTAAGTTATCCACTATCACTCTCGATGATTGTTCTACAAATGATACCATGATTGATAAGATTAAGAGAAAGATGGTTCTTTCTGACTTCATAATGAATGGTTCATTGCTGCAAATGAGATGCTCTACTCATATTCTCAACCTAATTGTCAAAGATGGGCTTGAAATTATCAAAGATGGGATTGAAAAGATCAGGGAAAGTGTGGTATATTGGACTGCAACTCCAAGGAGAGTTGAGTTCTTTGATGAGACTGCTAAGCAAAAAGATGTTGGTATTTCTACAAAACTTGCACTAGACTGCCCTACTAGGTGGAATTTCACACTCATTATGCTTTAATCTGCAATTCCATACAAGGAAGTCTTCACTCGTTTGAGTCAGAGAGAACGTAATTATACTTTCTTGCCTATCAGTGATGATTGGAAGTTTGCCATTGTTATCTCCAAAAAACTTGAGGTTTTCAAAACACTTTCAGATCTGTTTTCTGGAAGCAATTATCCTACTGCTAATTTGTTCTTTCCAAAGATTTGTGACTTGAAATTCGAACTGAATGAGTGGAGATTTGGTCCTGATGAGATCATTAGTGCAATGGCTGAAAAAATGTGGATCAAGTTCAACAAATACTGGACTGATATTCATGTGTTGCTTACTGTGGCTGTTGTGCTTGATCCCGCATACAAGCTTGAGTTGATTGGGTACTAATATGAAAAGTTTCAAAGCCTTGATTCTACTCTTGACCCCGAGACTGTTAAGGCCACTGTTTATAATGTGGTACGTGAGTATTAGTTGAAACAGAGGGCTAGGGATGATCTTTCTGCCTCCTCTGGTTCTGGAAATGGTCTTGTTGTTCATACCTCGAGCGACCTTGGCTTTGAGATTTATCTAAGCCGAAGGAAAAGGTCCAAAAAAACTTCAATGTGCTCTGAATTGGACCATTATCTGAGTGAGGGTGTCAGTACTCGAGCTCCTAATGTTGGTGTTTTGGATTGGTGGAGAGTGATGCTGGAAAATACCCTCACCGGAGTAGGCTGCACTTTGAAACTGTTAAGGCAATCATGTGCCCCGTACCTGGATTAAGGATGATATTAGGTAAGGGATTTATTTAATAGTTTCCAACTCTGTTTGTGGTTCAAATAAATTGTGAAATTAACTAACTCAATTCTCCTTTCTTTTGTCTGCAGATGCTGGAAAGGAAGGGATAAACAGATTGGAAAGCTACTTCTCTGCGTTGACAATGGTGGATCCAAGTTGTGAAGACTGTAAGAAAGGAGGTTAGTGAATACTGAACAGTTAAATCAGTAATTTCAATTTCCATGATGGTGAATAATAAACAAATTTGTATGACTTCACAAATTTTCAAGATCGTGCACTCCTGGACTTTGATGCTTGAAGATCAAGCATGTGGCTGCTGCTGCTGAGTGCTTGTTGTTGTCGCCTGCTATTGCTGGAGAGTTGCTTCTGCCTGCTTGAGACTGGATAGTTGTTGTTGCTTTCTGCTGGAGACTGGAGAGTTGCTGCTGCCTGCTGGAGTGTTGTTGTTGTTAAATCTTGAGCTTGATTGCTCATTTCCTTTAAGTTTGTCTTTATGTTTTTGGTGGACTGGTGGTTTGCTACTTTGTTTTATTGCTTGGATTCAAGTTTACGAACTTGTTTGTTTCGATTGGATGCCTTGATCCTTTTTGATTTGTTTAGACAGTTTGGATTTTGGGAATTGGATTTGGAGTCCTGCCAGCCATTTGATTTTTCTCTAAGTAATTTCCAGGCTGCATTCTTTGTTTTTTGTTTGTTTTGTTTTGTTTTGTTTTGTTTTGTTTTTTCCAGGCTGACAGTGGTAGCGGGGGTAAACCCGTTAACCCCGATTAAAGCCCGTTACCCGTTGGATTCGGGGTTGGGCCTGAAAATGAGCCCGACAGAACTGGTGAGACGGATTCAGGAAAAACCCGACAAACTTTCGGCCGGGTGGCAGGTAGGCCCTCCCTGGCCCCGATCCTGCCCGTTGCCAAGCCTACCCAGGATGCATCGCACTATCGTATATAGCTTGTGATACCTTGTACCTTTTTTGCTCCTTTTAGAATCACACTCACCATCTCTTTTGTTCTTTTGCTCAGTGATAGACGACTTGCTTTTAAGGCCTGCGGGATTCTGACCACTTGTTCCCTTTTCAGAGACCTGGGTCTTCACTAGAGATGCAAACCTTTCGAAAAGAGTTGTATAAGCTCCACGAAGAACTTCACATCCTTTAGCGTAATTACCATTGAGACAGTTGGGCATTTGAGGATTCATGTTCGGGCACAATATATGTATAACATGGGTCACTCCTTCCCTGGTATATAAGGGTGAGTCTTAAGTGAGAGGAACAGCTACGACATGTCCAGGGAGAAGAGATTTTGCACAATCCCTTGGGGAAACCTCAAGAGCTGGACCAACATCATTGAAGATTGCAGCATTCACATCTCCACCTACACCTCCAGGTTTAAGCCGCCTATAATGCAATTATAAAATTTCTTCAGAATAATGTTAAATGGGGACCAACCAACAACCACTTTGCAGGTCATTCCTCTAGAAAATGCGATCCAAAAGTGATGGACATCAGTTATGCCACAAGTCAAAATGACCAGATTAGTTCTAGAAAATTTTAGCTTCATACATGCAGGAAAAAAACTGAATCAAAATCAAATCATTTACCATTTGGCAGCATTAGCTATGATATTGCACCTTAAACCACCTTCAGAATAGAGTTTAGGGGTCGTTTGGATGGATCAATCTAGAAATGAGTCAATTTGATCAATTGTCTCGTTTTATAAACGAGGCAATTAAAATGAGTCAATTCGAATTATCTGCCCCCACCCCAAGTAATTGAAATTGACTCAAAACGGATCAATTCAAAATACCTCAGACAGATTGATCCATCCAAATTTTTTGTTGGCAAACGAGGCAATTTGGTACAATTGTCTCAAAACGAGACATTTGTGTCAAATTGATCCGTTACAATTCCTCATCCAAACGATCCCTAGTTATATCTCCAACAAAAGTGAAGAATTTATTTGAATCTATGTTTCTTTGAGCAGCTTTGCCCTTAACCAACGACAATATCTTTAACTTGTGGCTTAAGTCCACAAGAACAAGTCTTGCATTCCTAATCTTATTCACAAACTCTTCAACTTTTTCAACAATAATATCAGAAGCCTTCTCATTATCAAACTGAAAATTTGACGTTGAATGGATGGACATGCAAGTGTGGGAACACTGCTCACAGAAGAATCAACCTCGTGCTTATGTGGGGCCTGACATTCTTGTAGATTTTGTTAGCACCTCCAGACAACAAAGAAATGCTTTCTTGTTCCGCGGGGCGTTGATTTTCTTTTTCCACGTCAGCAGTTTCATGCATAGGAATCTAAACTATATGTGATGATCGTAAATCTTCACTAACAGGAACCTCAACTTTCTTTAAGAAATTCATAATTCCAAGTTGGACATTGGCTTTCAGTTTTTCTTCCCAAAACAACCATTCGGGAGGGTTTCTGCAGGACCAAGTGCACTGTATAGCTTAATTGCAGCTTGAACTTCACTATCATTCTGGCAAAACATGGTGCTTTTGAAGCCTTCATTAAGCTGAAGCAGTTCCTTCTTCTGTAGTATTCTGTTACAACTGCAGCAGCTTTCGCACCTTGAAGATTCCCTTCGTGCCTAGTGTGTTTCACAGACCGGGATATACAAACCTGAGCAGGAAATCAAGCACAACCTCATGAACTTCTTTTGTGGAACCATCAAGCTTCAGAAAATCAGCATGTTGTTCTTTGTCCAAATTACATCTATCAAAGAACACACTTTTTCCCTCCTTCAATGTACTGGGTGTACTCTTTAGGCACTGAGGCTTCGTCCTAGCTTTCCATTGTTAATAGTGTCCTATCATAAAGAAAATGAATGTCTGATATGCCAAGCTTTTAACCTAAATACCACTGCAGTCAGTAGACAACAGCTCCTAACATCTACAAGTGAAGTACAAAAATAAGATGGTCCCTGATCCATGGGAGCATAATTGAAGAACTTCCATAAAAGCTATGAATTCATGCTATCAAACACAAGGAGACTGAGGAGAGGTGGCTAGTGATCGTGTATTGAGAGGGAGAATGATGAGAACGGAGCTAAGGCATGGAGGCTCAGTGAAACATTTTGTCGATCACATAGTGTTCAAACAATGAAAACAGTGTGAGAGGGAGAGAGAAACCAACTTGGAAAATATGAGCCCAGGACCGGGAAGACGATTGCATTACATGCTCGATGAAAGTGAACTTCCCACTTCCCGGAGCACCGACGAGCAAGACGATGATGGAGCCTTTTTCCTTCTCATCGCCAACTGAAACCAGAAACAGCCGAATGAACCGGAGTACAAAGGAAAGAAAGAAAATGATATCAGAACCCTAAAGGCAAGAATACCTTGAGTAGTGGTACCGTCTTCATTGTCTGCGTCTTCATTGTCTGCATCCTTTGAGTACGATTCAAGTGAACGCGGGAATTGTTCGCAAAAGGCTCTGGTAGCTAGTTGCAGTTCTGCTGCCATATGTGCAGCATTTTAATTTGACGGAGCTCTCCAGTATTGCAGTTGCTCGCTTTGCTGTAATATATTTCTGGCCTCACAGGTTCAAGATAGGGTCAGTAACTATTGGTTACTAACTCATTAGTAACTAAATTTGGACCTTTAGATTTAAGTGGGCGCAGGAAATCAAGATTTGAGAGCTGTGAATAAAATACATTTTTTTTTTATTTTCTTGATTGGCTCTTATCTTCTTCGTTCTAACACGGATTTTTTTTTTTTTTGCACAAATGGAACGAGTTCGTTGCTCACTACAAAATGAGATCAATTTTCAATATTTTTTTAGAATTGTTTTCATACCTCTCGTTACCAACTCCATACCATATGGTATCTCCTTCTTTTTAAGTCATTTTTGAAAGCACAGAATGAACAAGTTCATCAAGATCTATAGGATCTACAAATTTTTGGTTGAAAAAAATGGAAGAGCAAAAAATACCATACTATACCACCCTGGTATGGGGGTGGTAACTTGTGGTACACAATGATGAAAGTCATAAATGAGAGTTAATGTACTCATACTATCATGTATTCAACCATCATACAGTCTTGGTAAGTTCATACCACCTTGGTATGTTTTCATACCATATGGTATGCTCTTATTTAATACTAGTCAATACCATATGGTACAGACTCGTAAAAAATGACTCAATTTTTTGTGTTGTAAAAATATATCAATGTGGATATCATTTTGAAGAGAACAATTAATATGATCTATCTGTGCAAAAAAAAAATTTAATTCAGACTTAAAACAAGAAAGAAATTGTCCGTTAAATATTAAAGGGAAAGCGATTAAAAGCTTTCCGTATGAGAGAGGATGTTGATGTTATGTTAATGTAAATGAGTTACTCTCCATTACTGATCATTAGGTAACTGACCGGATCCAGACCCCTCAATTTGGGCTCACATGCTGATCTTTAAGTGCAAAAGCACAATAGTTTTTTCCTACGGAGAGCAAAGCACATTATTTTATTTTAACTACCGATATAAGAGTTATAAGTAAATTTTGGTGTTGATTAATTAATTTTAAGTCCATTGATTAAAGAATAGGACTTTGCTATGATGACATGCATGTCACAGTGACATGCACTTTTCGGTCGACCTAATCTGTTGTTTCAATGTAAAAACAGTTTCATGGTGCCTACTTTGGAGATTCATATTTTACAATTGGCTAGATGAAAATTGGAGATTAAAGGCTTGTTTTGAAGCTGAAGTGTCCCTCTACACATTAAAGTACTCGGGAGCTCAATAGAAAGTCCAGAAGACCATTTTTGAACCTGAACAAAAGGCTATGCAAAAACTGGGAAACTGCCTGAAAATGGCTAAGTCTGGCAACGTGTTTGGCAAGCCTACTTTGGAGCTCAATTTGAGAAGCATGGATGCGAGTCAAGTCCAAGGGCCTCTACCACGTTAAATTAAGTATTTTTTTCTACAAATGCAAGGCATTGAATGAAAGATTGAATATCTTTAAGGCTTCAAACAAAAGGCTCGAAGTTACTACGAAGGCTGTTTTTCTGGCAGCTTGCTTGTGCTCATAGTCTGCCAGAAAAACAGCCTTTGTAGCAACTTCGACCCTTTAGTTTGAAGCCTTACAGATATCCAATCTTTCATCCAATGCCTTGAATTTGTATAAAAACATACCTAATTTAACGTGGTAGAGGCTCCTGGACTCGACTCGCATTCATGCTTCTCGAATTGAGCTCCAAAATAGGCTTCACAAACACGTTTCCAGACTTGGTCATTTCCAGGCAGTTTCCCAGTTTTGGCATAGCCTTTTGATGAGGTTCAAAAATTGTCTTCTGGACTTCTTATTGAGCTCTCAATCACTTCAATATGTAGAGGGACACTCCAGCTTCAAAACAAGTCATTAGTCTTCATTTCCCATCTAGCCAATTGTATGATATGAATATCCAAAGTAGGCACCATGAACTGTTTTTACACTGAAACAACAGATTAGGTCGACCTGATCCTATATGAGGTCGACCGAATCCTAAATGAGGTCGAACAGATCCTATATGAGGTCGACCGAATTCTAAATGAGTTCGACCTAATCCTAACTGAGGTCGACCGGAAAGTGCAAGTCACCGTGACATGCATGTCACCGTAGGCACACCCTATTAGTATTAATACCCACGTGTGGAAGATTTAGCAATGTTTTGTATATTCAAAAGCACTATAATATTAACAAAAATAATTAGAAATTTTACAAAAAGCAAGTACTATGGGGTCGTTTGGATGTGGAAATATAATACAGTAATTGGACGCAATTACCACATAATGCAGTAATTGGGTTAAAAATCCACGTTTGGCAGAGCAAAAAGGGTATGGGAATTGGACCATGGAAATTGGCTCCAATTACCGCATTCATTGTAATTGAGAATACTACATCTCCCCCCTAGTAATTTGACATTACCACGTTTTCTTCCTTCTATTTCCAAATGTGTCCTTATGTCCTTCCTCTCCTTTCTTCCTTACTCCTCCGATTTCGCCCAACTATTTCTTACAAGAGTAACTCCTTTTTCTTCATTCATCAATGACACATCTTCTTCTTCATCTCCCCTCACCTTCGTATATCTCCTCTAATCCTTCGTCAATTTCTTAATTTTGGATTTGCTTAATTATCTCATTCACCGTCAATTTTCTTGCTTCTCCTCATTGAATTCGCATAAACACTTTTAATATCCGTATTTAATGAATTAAATTGTTAACTTTATTATAATTTATATATGTACTTATTATTCAAATAATTAAGTTTATATATTTATGGATTTTAATGTACTATTAAATGTAATATTAGCTTAGAGATGAAGTAAAATAATCGTACGTATTTTATGCGTAACATTTCCATATCATATTTTTCTAACTATGCTTAAGTTAGCAACAATTTGTAGTTAGTATAATTCAACAACAACCTTTAGGAAGGGTATATGTATATAAACAAAAGAGGGCATTTTTGTATTTTTACACAATTCCACACCATCAATTCCCACAAAACTAAACCCTATCCAAACGTGGAATTTTGTTCAATTTCCACAAGTCAATTTCCCTTGGTTTTATAAAATATGGAAATTCAAACAAATTCATATAATATAGGGAGTTCTACGGTAGCTAGAGTGAAATCCGGGGTACCACATACCTTGAGTTAGAAAACGCTATCTAAAACTTGAATTGACTGATCGTTCGGACATGATACTATACTCTAACCCTTAAAGATCAAAATCTAGGTCTTAATTCTCTAAATCTTATACCCCAATATCGATTTAATTAGAAATAATAATCGACGGTTATGATTCGTCCAAATATAGGCAAAAAAAAAAAAAAATCAATGCACCATCTTAGTGTTTATAGTTTATGATTTAGATAATTAAGACCTAGGGTTCACTCATTAAGTGTTAGTGTATAGTATCATGCCCTAAAATCCTGCTAATTCGAGGTCTAGATAGCGTTTTCATACTCAAGGTATGCGGTACTTCGAATTTCACCCAGGGTACCGTAGAAGGCACCCTTAATAGATTATATTTTAATTATGAGAGTAATTACCTCCCCAGTTAAAATGTGACTTATTCCCAAAGAAAGAGGGAATATTCTGGGTTTTCTGCTCCTATAAATAGCAGACTCCCAGACCCTCTAAACATACCCCAGAGAGCAGAAACACGAGAAAGGGAGTGAGTTCATAGAGCTCCAGTTTTCACACAAAACCGATGAGCAACAAAATTAGAGTGGTTGTTTTATCCAGGAGGCGATCGGCTGATAGTCTACTGTGCGCAATAAATATAGTGCCGCGAACGTCTTAAGAAGAGCGACCTAGCTCGTGACTCAGCCAGATCGGTAACCATATTATTATGTTCGATTTCTAATAGGGTTTCCCAAGTCAGTAGGCAAAGAAGTGGTGTTAGTTGTGGTTGACAGATTGACTAAGTATGGTTTTTTTAGACTAGGCAGACTATAATATGTTGCTTAAGTGGCATGTCCTTTTATGGGCTGTTTAAGCCACATGGCTTACCAGTTACCAGATACATAGTCATTTATAGAAATGCCCTCTTCACTAGTGTGCTCTGGTCCACTCTCTTTGACTTGTAGGGTGTGAAGCTGCATTGTTAGACTGCTTATCATTCTCAAACTGTTGGTCAGACATAAAGGTTAAGCATGTTTCTGGATGATTATCTTAGAAACACGAGTCATCATAATCCACACGCTTAGTCAACCTGGTTGTCTTTGGCATAATGGTGGTATAACACCAATCACCATAGTAGCCTTGAGAATGCTCCCTTTGAGGCTCTTTTTGGGTATCATCCCTCCAAATTCGCTCTCTGGAACCCTTTATTTACATCATTTGTAGATAGGTTTTGCAAACAAAGGTTGGTGGGAATCCTAAGAGACAACTTAGTCATGGCTCTGAATAGATAGAAGCATATGTTGATAAGCACATAAGCAAAAGAGAATTTCAAGTGGAATATATGGTTTATTTGAAACTAAGATCTTACAGACAGTCCTCAATTCATTGTCCATGAGAGCAAATTAGAAAATATCTTCTAGATTCTATGGACCGGCCATTTCAGATCACTAAGAAGATTGGGTTTGTAGCATATTGCATTCGCTTGCCAGTTGGTTCTATGATCCCTCTAGTATTTCATGTATGTTTGTTTAAGAAATCAGTTGGATTCTCGGTTAGCACTAAAATTATATTGCCTAATTTTGAAGAGACTAAGAGCCTAAATATTGAACATGTGTCGATTTTTGTTCTAGTGAAGATAGCAGAGATGTACATTGTCGTGAACCACA